AGTTTGAATTCTGGTGACCACTTTCTCCACTTTGTGTTTGCTGTCTGTTGCATGGTGTTTCACTTTGTTTTCGGCATTCCAAGGTGGCTGCTGCTATTGTTGTTTTTAATTGTCCCTTATCATTTAGTTTTATTTAGATGTCTGCCAGTTTCTCCCCTTTTCCTTCCTTCCTGTAGTTTACTCAGTGCAAGTCTGTGAACGTAAAGCCTCTGTCTGACAGTGTCTTCATCTTTCCCTTACTGTTAATGATAGTTTTACCTGGGAATCTCCACATTAACAGTCATTTTTCATCACTCTGAAAATGCTAGTTCCCTGTCTTACCGCCTTTATTGCTGCCACCCAGAAGCCTGCTGTTGACATCACTGTCTGGAGGTGATCCATCTTCTCTCTCAGATCTTCTTCTCTGCCCATCTGATAGTCTCAACACAACATGTCTAAGTGTGCATGTGTGCTTACATGTCTCATTGAGGCACCTTATATGTCTGTGAAGATTCATAGCGGTTCATTCCTAGCAGTTTTCTTTTCAGTATTTTCCTTTCCCCATTCTGTTTTTCTTTCCTTTGGTGACTCCTTTTCAAGGGACACTGGATGTCAAGGTTTTCAGTGTCTCATACATGTCCTTTCATCTATCTTCTCTCTTTCCCAACTGAGTCACATCTGGATAATGTCACTCAAAAGCTCTGTTTAGTCATTATTGCTTTACTGTACCCCATCTATGTTCAAGCTCAAGCCTGTAGTACATGAACATGTAGTAAATGAACATATGTGTAACTTCCACCCAAGTCTGGCAATTGTGAGCTGGATATGGTGGCACATAGCTTTGATGCCAGCACTCAGGAGGCAGAGGCAGGCAGATCTCTGTGAGAATAAGGCCAGCATGGTCTACATAGTGAGTTCCAGGCTAACTGGGGCTACAGGGAGACCTTGTATGAATGAATGAATGAATGAATGAATGAATGAATGAATGCCAAAAACCAAACCCACCTAAGTGCTGACCCCCCCCAAATGCCAAAAACCAAACCCCCAAACAAAAAACCCTCTAGCAGTTCCTCAGTTTTGTCAAATTTGATCTCTCATCTTTCTTCCTCCCTAATGGTTTAATGATCCATTTGAGAATAAAATTCAGTATTTATGGCACTTCACCCCAAACTTCCTAAGGACAGGAACTTTCTCCCACCTGTCCACACTCAGGACAGTCCACATTAATTCAGCATCGTCACAGGCTCTGTGGGGCCTGAAACTACTCTGTGTGGCCACAGAAGGATGAGGCCCAGCCTTTGCTTAGACATCCAATCAAAGGCCACTCACCTGTCCCTAAAATGTTCTTGTAGGCTTGGTGATGGTAAGTTGGGGTACTGCATTAAGGTAGTATATGTCAATCACTCCATTACTACAGAGACAGCATTCCCCTTTGTAATTAAGAAGTAATCACCTTGCAGGTCATGCAATAGCCTGTTCCTACAAATCTCTGATCCAGTAGTATTAGCATCTATTGATGATATTTGTCTTATGTAAATAATAAAATTGATATAAAGTGGTGATTTTCTAGTTTCACTATTCTCTCTCTCTCTCTTCCCCCTTCACATTCTCTCTTTCTTTAGTAGCAGGCTCATGAATCTTTTCCAGTATTTAATATACCCATTACTAACACTCACTTTTTTTCCATAATGTCTTCTTGTCTTAAAGTTTCATTCCCCTGAGAGTTGCCCCTGGGCTCGCTAATGTGAAATGTCTCAGGTTGTTGTCTCAGTTTGAGTGTGCTGCCATGCCTGCTGGCCCTCTTTCTCCCTTCACTCAAGGTGTATCACTCAGTGTTTGAGAGATGTTCTTTTCACATTGCCTCTGTTAGCTATCCCAGGCACCACCGACTTGAGAAAATTTCTGTTAGTTTCTTAGATTCTAGGTTCTTGTGCCACAGGAGTAGGAGTCAAACTGAACTCTACTCCCTGGGGTTCTGATGTTTCATTAAGGTGATCCTTACCTCCGTTCTCAAGAGATACCTTCCCTCTGCATTGCGCTAAGAGCGGATGATATTTCTGAGGGTGTCAGGATGCCAGGGCAGTAAAGAATCTTCCAGAAGGCCACAAATGGAGCATGCCCGTCCTTCAGAGACCTGTACTTAGTCATGTCCCACAATGAGTAGAGACACTCAGCCCCCACCCATGATATAGATAAGGAACTTGGTTCCTCCAGAATACAAGTGCCTTTCCCATGGCCATATAGATTTGGGGAGAGTGGGTGCAAAAACCCAGGTCTCCCAGTGGCTCTTTCTACCTGGTCTCATGCACTCCTGAACATAGGACCCCTGGCCCTTCCCTCTCTCTGTAGGGTACAATGAGGAGCAAGAACAAGAGGTGGAGACCCTCTGGGTGGGACAAGTTATGTGTCAGCTGCTAGCCTTGGGTTATTGGATGCAAACCCTGACACATGCCTCTGGGCTGTCTGTACAACTGACACTTGGAGACTGTGTTCTAAAACCATGATTTATCTTTCTCTGTCATTGTTGTTCTAGTAGTTTTCACTCAAAGGCAAGAACATGCCTTTAAACTGACCTTTTAAACTTTGCAGTGCTTATGCCATAAGACACATGAAAGGAACAATAGCACATTCTCCACATGTGAGCGCACTTGAGGCCGCCTTTGGTGAGGAGATCTATGGGACACCGACACAAAGCTTCTAAGCTGCTCCCGCAGCTGATGGATGGCCCTCTGGGTAGAAGTCCCATGACCAGGGAGAGGCCCTGCTGTTCCCTGCCCAGCCAGCACATCATCCCCACCTCTCACCGAGAGACACCGGGAACACTTGGGAGGACTGGACTCTGTCTCACAGATCTCAGGATACCCTGGAAGTTTCTTGCAGGGGAAGCATATGTAAATTAGAAGAAAGAGAAGAGTGGAGTGTTTGAAGCCAGTAGCTTGGGTTTGAGTCCAGGCATTGGCCCTTTTAAGCTGTGCAACCTTGTGTAAGTTGCCTAACTTACATGAGGGTCACTGCCGCCTTCCACACCCTCTGGAGCTTGGCTCAGGCTGGACATCTGAAACAGTGAGACAAGAAAGCCCACAGTCTGATCTTCCTGCTTGGTTGCAGCTCTTCCCAGGTGCATCTCTTTCCATCTTGATGTTGTAGCAAGTTTCTCATTCCATGGCCAAGCAGCACAAATCCATTGTTTCCTAGTTTTGTAGGCTGAAGTCCAAAATCAATTTCACTGGGCTAATGCTAAGGTTCTGGCATGGATAGATCTTTCTGTAGGCTTCTGGGGAGAACCGGTGTCTTTGCCTTTTTATATTCCACTGTCCATCTGTGTTCCTTGGCTGTGGCTCTTCCGTCTGCAGACTGTGTCACCCCCAGTCCCTTTTGTCATCCTCCTCTCCTGGGTCCCATCTCCTTTGCTCTTCTCATATAAGGAAGGAAGCTTGTGCCCACATTGCTTCTACCTGGAGACCCAGGATCATCCCCTACCTCAGATCCATCACAGTTCCATGGCACTTTAAGATCATGACTGCAAGCTCTGGGAATTAGGATGTGGATATTTTGGGGGCTGGCCTGCTGTGCCATCTTACGCTTTCTGTCTGTTCTTTTGTTGCCTATCTAGGGGTCCTCTGGACAGGGAGATAATCTTGACAGAAAGCTTCTTGTGTGATAGGAGGTAAATGTTGAAATAGCTGAGTGTCCTTTGGGTGAGGCCCTCCAGTTGGGCTTTAGGGGATTAGTATAAATCAGTAAAAGGGGATCCAATACGGAGGCATGGTGTATAGGCATGGAAAGAACAGGGAGTGAGGCCCTTAGGCTTTGCTGTGGAGCAGATGGGGTTAGAGAGCTCTGTGGGAAGAAGCTCTTGATGGTGGTGAAGCTCAGCTCAGTTCTTCCTCATAGTAGGGGTGGGGCTCTGCATCCAGGAGCCTCCTACAAGTTTCAGCCCTCCCTCCAGTCCTGAGCCCTCCCTCCTACCTTTCCCCAGTGCATTCTTTACTATACCTGGGCCCCATGCAAATGCCTATGGAATCCTGGTGGTGTGGGACTCAGGGGTTGTTGTTTAGGTTTGAATGAGGGAAAGTAGCTTCACTGTGTACGGAGGGTACCAGGAGACCTAGGCTGCTTGCGGGGAGGGGGAAAGAGCTCTCAGTCCTGGAGCCACAGAGAAGCATGAGCACAAGCTGAGGACTGCTTGTCCTGCACGTCTTCCACTCACACCCCTCATACATCTTCAGGAGGAAACCAATTCAATGGGGGTGCACCGTGGCAGCACTATGATTGTTAGTGCAGCCATATCTTACCCTGCAAAGAGGTTGCAGGAAAATATATTTCAATGCCATGTTCAAAAGAACTGTCATTGTTTTTTAAACATAGTAAATGAGTTTTTGGAGAATGATGTAATAGTGCTACTTTTAATGTGTTCTTTTTAAGAATTGATTTTCCTTTAGTTCAGATTGATGCATGATGAAGGAAAACAAGTCAGAGCCAAGCTGCCACAGGGACGGAGTGTCTTAATGCTCTGTGTGCATGCGCACACCCAAGTTAACATATCAGATCCACAGAAAGATAATGGAAGTTTCCTTTAAACACATTAGTGTATTCCAGAAGTCTCTCCTAAATGGCCATTTTATTTGGGGGGTGGGGGGGCAACAAGGAGACTGGGAGATAGGAAAACAAACAAGAGCTCGAAGCCTTGGGATATGAAGTGGAAGCAGTCTGTACAGTTGACAAGATTTGACCTCTGTATGTGTGTCCCCCAGAATATCAGAATGAAATCAGTGAAGTATCTCACCATTCGGGCTTGGCACATCTCTACTGGCTGACTGGTGTGTGTGCATCGTTAAGAGGACATTGCATTGACAGGCCCCTGGGAGCCATTTGGTCCCTTCCCTTGTGGAGCCTGTAGCTGGATGAGGGAGCAGCCTGCTCAAGGCACACACTGGATGACAGGGCCAGTGTTCTTTGTGCTGTGCTGTTTGTTTCTCTGTCATTCTCCCCTCTACAATGACATTGTCTTTTTTTTCCAGGAAAACTCAGTCAGTGTCTGACAAGGTAGATGACGAGCCGGATGTCCTGCAGCTAGGTAGGTGGGACTGTCCATCCAGGGTCCCCCAGGTTGCTCTACTTGGGAGGTGTGTCGCAGAAGTCCTGCTGGACTGGGGTAGAAGTTTCCATCTCATCTGCCACTGTTCCATCAGTGTCTGCACCTGCTGCTTGCCTTTTTCTCCCTGTCAGTTCTTAGAAGAGGGCTTGGTCATAGATGGGTGTGGTGACACATGCCTGCAGTCCCAGCATTTGGTAGGCTGAGACAGGAGGATCTCAAGTTGGTGGCTAGCCTAGGCCACACGGCAGACCCTATCCCAGAACCAAACCAAATCAACCAACCAAACAAAAAATAGATTGTCTCCTCAAATCAAACTAACAAAAAATAGATCGTGTCTGGACCATCTGTACTTGAGGGTTTACAGGCAGAGACTGATTTGGGATCATCGAGAACTGACTGAGGTTTCCAGATGACAATTCTAGGTCAAAATACTGTGTAGCTCTAGCTCTGCCTGGGGCGGCTCATCCCCTTAAGTTTATAAGCATGATTCAGGTGAAGAGTGCACAGTGAGTGTGTGAGGGGTTCAGCATTACTGCTCAGCCCTGTGCAGTTCATGTGTAGATATATCCATGTCACCATTCTGTGAGAGCAAGACAGATGGTTTGCACTCCAGCTCTGAAGCATTTTCTCTCTGTCTGTAATTGCTGACTACTGAGAGTGGGGGAACCAACAGTGCAGTGGAGGATGACGGGCCAGGGATTGGATGCGAGAGGATGAACTTTGTGCTCTGGACATTTGCTCCCCTCTTGGAAGCCAGCCCTTTACCCGCTGGGCCTTCTTGGTATATAGGAGCTGTTCACAGACTTCCCTTTTCCCTTTTAAGAACTCCCTTTCATGCTGTAGGAGGAAAGCATGCCCCTCAGAAGTTCTTGTGTGAGAGTGTAGCTGACCACAGGCTTTGATCTAATTGCAAGTGCGGCCCGTTCTCTGATCATGGGGGCAGGCTTGTTTATGTTGCTTAACTCACTTTAGAGGTACCAGAGCCTCAGGAATCACTAGAAACACTGGTGAGGATGATGTGGCCCTGCCCAGGAAGGGCAGGCGTCTATTCATGGCCGTGCAGAGTTAAGGATGGAGCCAGGAAGCCTTGGCATCCAAAGTCTTGGGAGGTGCTGCACTTGAAGATTTTCTGATGAAAGCCACCGATGTATGGATGCAAAGCAACGTTGTTCTCGGCCTTCAGAACCCAGAGATCATCTCTTGGAAAGAAGTGTTTAGCAATTTTCAGAAGCCAGCTGTTTGAAGTGTATGCACATTCTTCCTGGAGGGGGTAGAACCCCCTCTCTGCTCCTGGCTCAGATAATGTTTAGAACAGGAAAAGGAGATGAAGGATGAGAAATGAGTTAAAGAGAGAAGCAGAGAGAAGTCTTGAGGGAGGGGATATAGTGGTACAGAAATGTGGTGGCGCATTCTGTGAAGGAGCAACATTTCTTTCTGTTTTTTTTCTTTTTTTGGTGGGGGGTTAGAGAGCCTTTGTTAGGCAGCTCCCTAGGACATGAGCAGAACAGGGCTGAGTGGGACAGAGACAGGTGCTCTCCCATAGCAATGTGTGAAGTACAGGACCAGTGTCTGAACTACTTCAAGAGGTGTAGAAGCCAAGTTCTGTGATGGGTTCTGGAAATTTCCATAGCAAGGTGGAATTCAGGCCCATTTAAAGGATGGGCCAGGTCTTGGGGGATGTGGAAGAAACTACGCAGGCAGAGACTCTTGAGTGAGAGTGAGAGAGAGATAGATGCTGGTGGGCGGAGTGGGGCCTGCACTGGAGTGGACATCAGGATGAAGCTGGGGTAGACAGAAGGATTCTGATTGCTGTGCTAAAGTTTGGGCTGAACACTGGGTGTAAGGAGCCGCTGAAGTTTTGTGCTGTGGGTCGTCATGCAAGACTGTGCATCGGGGCTGTCTGGACTTGGCGTAGCATGGATTTCCATGTAAGAATCCAGCATTGGAGCCTGACGAGGCTCTGGAGATAGGACAAAGTGAGGAGGCTCTTTTGTCCCAGGTCATCTCAAGTGTTTCAGATCTGCTCAGATGTCACACCAGTGGGCTTCTTCCCTGACCCCTCATGGCAGCTCAGTAGTAGAGCACTTGCATAGCATACATGAGGCTCCAGGTCCAGTACCCAGTACTGCAAATGAATGAGTGAATCAATAGATAAGTGCACAACAATCCCTGGGGCTGTGGGGAGAGAAGGTGAGGTGGAGATGAGGTGTTTTAAAGATGGGTAAATCCTGAGGCTAGAGCAGCAGTGGTTGGAGAAGGCTGAGGATTCATGTTGGGACACTGGGAGAGGGAGAAAGAATGTTGGTGTCTGGTGTTGGGGGCCTTCCAGTAGATGTGTTGGGGTCAGTGAGAAGTACTGACTCACTGATAGAGATACCATGTTCAAATAGCTCATCAGAAAGAGCTCTAGAGGCGGCTGTTCTTCCTGTGGAACTGTGGGCTGAGCACGATGCTTCTTGCTTTGGGTCCCACTCAAATGCAATGTGAGGTTTTTTTTTTCTCTCTCTCAATACCACATGCCCATGTATAATTTTTTTCTCTGCAAAGGGTATATGAAGTAAGAAAAAAAACCTCTTGCTTCTGTTCAACCAGACGTTCATAGGAGGGCCTAAAAATAGCATTCTCAAAGCACTGGCATTTGTAGACAGCTTGGTCTGCTTGGCCAGCATGTTGCTCCTCCAGGCTTTGTTTTTCCCTTGCATGGCGGTCTCACCACATCTGGATCTCAGGCCTGCTATGTGATCCTGAACCAGTTCCCTGCACTGGGCCAGGTCCTCTTTGCAGAAGCCAGGGGAGGCTGCCTGCTTCAGGAGGAACAAGCCCCCACCCTATGTATGTCACAGCCCCTGCTTCTTGAGGCCCCTGGCCTTCATCCCAGACTCAACTCATGGGCAGAGCGTGTTGCTGACCTGGGTGCCCCTGCCTTTGACAATAACGTTTTAAAGAGAGGTCTCTAAATAGACTTAAATAGTGCCCCTTTCATCCCCTGGGAAGCAGCCTGACCCCAAGCATTGCAAGTTGAACTTCAGGCCTGGTGGAGTCACTTGGATTGTAGTTGGGGCCTACAGGGTGGGACTAACCCTGTGTCTGTTCTCACCATGCACCCTTACACAGCCTGCCTGACAGCTTTCCTCCAGTTCTCCTTCCCTATTCCCTTTAGGTCTCTGCTCTCCATCTTCCACAAACATCCAGTCTCTTAGGTTTCCATACAGTTTGTAGCCTTTCTTGGTGTGCATGTTTTATATTTGCCATCTTGTTTGGTTTCTTACTTTCTCTACCCAGTTTTAAGGTCCATTCATATTGCTGGATGAACATCTGGTCTCTATTACTGGTTATTTTTGTAAGGCTGTGGTCATGGTGTAATGTTTTCAGAGATTCTAACTAAGTTTCTCATTTAAATTCAGCTTCTTAAGTTCAGATTTTTTTTCTTTTTTTTTTGTACTTTGTCAGTTTCATATGTTCATACATGTATAAATGAATTTTAGTCATTTTCACCCCTTACCCTATCTTCTCCCCCTTCCTCTCCTGCTAAAATCCTTCTTCCTAACAGGCCCCTCCTTTTTCCATGCCGTAGCTTCTTATTCAGTGGATAAGCCTCTAGAGTTTGCCTTGTATGGTGTCTGCTTCTACCCCAGGTGGGAAAAAGAGGCAGTTGAGTGGGGTGCACATACGTGTTACTCTGGGAAGTCGGCATAAGCCCTTCCTTACCCCTCTCTGCAGTGCCTGTGCTCAGCTTATCCAAGGGTTCCTTCTGGTGTCCATCATTTGCGCGTCAGTATGTGCAGCAGCAGAGGGGAAGGTGAGAGGGGGTCTCAGCCAGCTGAGATGTCACAGGCTGATGCTGCCAAGACTCCGGCAGGATTCTCTCTTCAGCTTCAGTTCTCCCAGGTGTATGGGGAGATAGACAGGAGATGGTCTGGTGCCCTTTGGGCTGGAGGTCCAAGGGAGGCAAGGTGCTGAGTGATTCACAGTCCACTTGGTTTGTGTCTTGCCTCTACCACCATCTCTGTGTCTGATTTGGGGCAGCTATCTACCATCCTTACTGTAAGTGGGGGAAGTGGTAATCAAGCTCTCGAAGGGCCAAATGGGAGTTGAGTGATACAACCCAAGTGGCCAATGAATGTCAGTAATAAGAATCTACCTCTGCTGCTTTTCCAGAACTGTAATATCTCCTTCCCTAACACTGACCTCCTCTCATGTATCCTCAGGGTGACAGACTTGTGTCCCTGCCTGCCTTTTCTAAGAAATGTGTCTGAGCTGGACCTTGCTGGGCCTGGCTCACTCACTGGCTTTAGGTACTAGGTATGTAGTTCACTCTGCCCACACGTGGCGTTTCTAGCAGACTAGCCATCAGCATCCTCTGGCACAGTGAGAGACAAGTAGGGTCCAGCGTGGAGGCTGGATGCAGGGTCAGGCACTTTTCAAGAGTCTCCAGACTTTTCAGTGGGGTGTTAGTGACTTCCCATTCCATTCTTCCTGAGCCACTCCATGGCATGCTTTCTTTCAGAGGATGTTGAGGATGAACTGACTAAGGAAGAAATCATCCTGTGCCCACCTCCATCGATGCACAAGCTGCAAATCTCGTCAAAGCCAATTGACTTCTTAGCAGCAAAGGTAGGTGTCAACTCAGAGATGCAAGAAGTCTGTGGTAAACACATCCTGATGCAAATCATGTGACTAATATTTTTGGCCCAATAGTTCTCATTGTAATCTCTTGGTCACTGTTGAAGTAGAAACTTGGGTGTGACGTTCAAGAAACGTGAACCAAGGGTCAGGAAAACTGTTTAGTCCTGGATCCTCCCCTGCCTCCCTGAGAAGAAGGGGGGTGGAGTCTGTGCCTTCTTGTAGACACTGCAGGGTCCTGCTCTTTCATGACTCAGAGCTACCTTACCACAGCCGTGCACCAGTGCAGTGTAACAGCAACAAGAGGATGGTTATCCTGTGAGACTGGCTGGCCCTATGCCTACCCTGACCTTTGGCACTAGGCTTCAGGTAGCTGTAGGGTGGGAAGGACAGAAGTTAGCACACCCAGGTTTGAACCTCCTAGAGGAACCCATGGCCACAGGGCATAGGGATCAGGTTCCTGGCCTTTGCAGCCTCCTTGGCAGGGATACTGGATGTGTCTGTGACCTTGGGCTGCCAGGGTAGCTCACTCTTCCTTTGGGGCTCCTGTGAGACTCCCATGGGATGGAGCACTGCTCCTGTTGTTCCCTACTGGCCTTCCAGCCAGCATCCAGAAGACAGGTTAGAAGTTCTTGGAGATTCAGCCGTCCTCCTTCCCTTTCCACTTAACTGTGCACTTAGCACACAGATCAGAATATACAAGATTTAAAATTTTTTTCCTTCCCCTTTTCTCTCCTCTCTGCTTCCCTCTGCTCCTCTACTCTCTTTTGAAGCCACGGAGGGTCAGACACATGGAAGGGGCCCTCAAGCTGTGAGTCCATGCTCTGACCATCTGTAGCCACAAGACTATTGTCCTCTGCAGAAGGCACTCCCATTTTCAGCTGGACTCTTGGAGGCCCCTAGAGACCATCTAGCAAGAGTATGTCCCAGTGCAGTCAGAGGGCACAAGACTCACAGCAAGAGAGGAGGACCAGGGCCCAGGGCACCTGAAGTAAGCAAGGCCCAGGCTTCTGGGTTGTCGGACACACTGTGGCATCCTGGAGACTAAATAGAGACAGGATTTAGTCAGAAAACATAAGTCTATAGTTTCTAGGCATCTGAGAAATGCATTTCAGGCATAGTCATGGTTATATTTGGCACAAGAAGGGGAACCAAGCCCTGGTAAATGAATTCATTTATCCAGTGTGCTATCAGCCCACATTTGATGATGGCATGTAGACAGTTCTGTCACAGAGATTTCCTTGTACTTCAGGCAAAGACAGAAGAACTGATTCTAGCAGCAAGTGATCTGGGTCCATAGGAGGAACTAACACTGAGAAGAGGTCTCAGAGAGGCACTAGACAATCTACCTAGTGGATTAGAGCTCACTTGAGGCTTCAGAGCTCCCCCAGATGTAATACCATGGCTTGGGGGCATAAACGATCATGAATCGGAGGGTAGGGAAGCATTGGTGTTCCAGGAATCTGGACAGTAACAGTAGGGTTAGTGGAAGATGAACTACAATCTGAGTATCATCTGAAGTCTAGAGATGATGGAGCTCTGGAAGAATGGAGAAGAGGCCTTGGGAGGTAGTGGTAAGCCCTCTGGGAAGTAGATTGCTCAGGGAGGGATCATGGGAGATCACTCACAGGTGGCATTCCAGAGGAAATCATTTTCTATAGAAGTAGAGAGTATGCTTTCAACTTTGCCTAGGGTTTCGGTCTCTGTCACACCCATGTCTGCTGCTATGATGTAGAAGCAGCCATAGATAAAATGAAAGCAAATGCCCATTGTTGTGTGCTAATAAAATTGTCTTTATAAGTCTAGGTCGGTGCTAGATTTGGTTCATGGGCCAACCCTGTGCCAAAGCCCTGACTCTCAAACCTGGCCAACTGCAAAGTGGAATCACTTGGGGGCAGTTTAAAGCTGATAACGGGGCCAAGATATTGTTCATCAGTAGAGCACTTGCCAAGCATACAGAAGACCTAGCTTTCATTACCAGCACACTAAGAAACCAAACAAACCTTTGGATGCTAGATTCTCACCCTCAGGAATGCAGATTGAATTGGCCTGACCTGTGGTCTAAGCATTAGGCTTATTTTTAAGCACCCCTTAGATAATTTCAATGTGAGGTCAGGTTAGAAAACTTCTGATGGAGGATCATAGGACTTCTAAGATCTCTGGAGGAGCCAAAGTATATATTTTTTTTTTTTTTTTGGTCTTTTTGAGACAGGGTCTCCCTGTAGCCCCAGCTGTCCTGGAATTCACTATGTAGACCAGGCTGGCCTTGAACTCACAGAGATCCACCTGCCTCTGCCTCCCAAGTGCTGGGATTAAAG